AAAATACGCGCATATTTTAGAGAAAATTTCAAATAGCATAAATTTTTCAAAATCACTTTCTTGAAGTAATTATTAATTAAAAATATTCCATACATTCATTTGTATTTTCAAGTCAAACGACAAGTTTAATAAACAAATGAATAAGTTTATTTTTATGCCACTTAAAACGACTTCCCATCGTGAAAAAACAAGAAAAAAGCTGCAACTTCAAGTGTCAAATTTTTTAGTTCGAAGCTATATATCAATTTTTGCAATTACATATAATTAAAAATGAAATCTTGTAAGTGTTCTTTGGCTTTCATGAAAGTAGAAAAAACTTTTACAAGAAGCACTGAATCATAAGCTAATTACTTCATCTAATTCAATCAGAAAGAGTGTTTTTATAGAACAGATTTGTCAATTTTTTTTAATATTACATATTATTGAAGTATCTGTATAATGTTTATTGCCGATGAGCAATTTTGTTTTTGTATTATCAATATTATTTATTATATTAGATCATTGACCAGCTATGATATTATAGCATTTCAAATGTTGACACATACTCTTTGAGACTGACAGACACAATTACAGAAATATTAAATGACCGACTGACTGAACTTTTACATAGCAAAAGTAACATTTTAATTCCTACTAGATCTACGAATTAGTACTCTAAGTCGACCTAACCACATCATTCCAATCACTGATTTGACATATTTCAGCATAAAATATCTACTTTAAAAATAGAAACTAGTCATTTTGAACAAATAAGCGCATATTTGAGCAAAGATCTCAACTCTTTCAAACCTTAACTTTTTCTGCCGACGATTCGAAATATATCAAATTAGACTAAATTTTACATAAATTATTTCTTTTCGCACTACTGATGATTATACTTTCAGAAACAAGTAAAATTTTGTTTGCATTTCAAAAAATTTCAGTGCAAAATTAGATGAAAGAAGAAGCTGAAGCTTATGAAGTAAATGTGATCCATCTAATCGCGTATCAGAAGTTTTGAATCTGATCTAACTTTAATTTCAGAAATTAGACAGATAAAATTCATACTTATTCACAGGAAAAGCAAAGACAAAGATATGATGTAGCAATGCAATCTTAAAACAAACAAAAAACTTTCATATTTTCAGCAAAAATTATTCATACATCATTAATCTTCCCTAATTCATATCTTTTCGTACTTAACACAAATCAAACTTCACTCATAAAAACTAACATCATTCAGCCAATATTACTGCAAAGAAGATATATATTCTTTACTATAAATATTATCAAAACTGATATGCCTTAATATACTAATAAAAATCACTTCAATTCTAAATTTCGAAAATATTTAACTCTATTGAAAAATATCGCAGAACTTTTTGGATCAATCAAGTGTATTTTGAATTTTTTTTAAAATATGGCCCTACTGTCAAAAAGGTAAATTACAGCCTCAAAAAACATGGCACATGTTTAAAAACAAATCTTTCTTCAAATATTTTCTAGATTTTTAGAACTTTCCAATAAAATATATATTTACATATGTATTTTTACAAAAGACATAGTCTTGAGACAATCTTGTCGCTCCTCACTACCTGAACAAGACTAATTCTAGCTTGAATTAGATCCCAAACGAATTCCGGGAAGTCTAATCAGTTGTAACTTGTCAAACACTCTATATTGTATGTTTTCTTGTATAAGACTGACCGTTCTTAGACAAGTCTTTCTCTATCAAACACTTAGACCTTTTCATCAGTACTAATACAATTACTATGTCCAACTCTAATCATTTGCAAGTGAAAGAAAATAAAAAATGGTGAATAAAACAAGCATTGTGCACGAGCCAAGGAGAAATTTAATAAATACATGAATAAGTTTACTTTTATATCACTTAAAAAGAGTTCCCATTGTGAAAAAACGAAAAAAGCTGCAATTTGAAAGAAAATGAGAGTGAACAGAAGGCAACTTGCATTCAGAACTGCTAAATGAAAAATCTTGGCTATACATCAGCTTTGGTCGGATTAGCTTTGTCCAGGAAGAAAGGGTTATCTTTTTCATTCAGGTGTCACTGTGCAATAGTCAATATCTCGAATGAAAAATTGTTAATAATTAATTATGATAATTATGAATAAACACTTTTGTAATATTTTACTTATTTCGAAGACATGAATGCTTTGCTAGTAAATATGTTTATAGTCAAAAGCATTATTGCAGAATTTTTTTGCAAAAAATTAAAATTGCAAATTTTTTTTGAAGTATTGTAATTAATTTAATTAATTAATTATAATACTTCAGAACTGCAAATTAGAAAGAAGTATGAAATCAGCTACATTACTATTAGCACAGTTGCAAAGAGATATGTGATTGAGAATGATCTGAGTTGGTAAAAATAAATTAGATAGTACTGAAAATAAGTTTTTTTGCGTTTTAGTTAAATGAGAAAAAGCTGAGTGAAGTAACGCAAGTAATCATTCAGAATGTGCTAAGAAAGTAAGCAAAAGATAGAAAAAATAATGCTGTCTTAGTGATTTATAATAATTGCACTTCTAATGAGATTTTTTCCTAATTTGTCAAAAACTATATCTTAATTACATTAATTAAACAATAAATGATAGTAATAGTTTGTAAAAAAAGGGAGTTAATTAGTTATTAAGACAACGATATTATTAAAAATAATTAGGTGTTTTCGTTCGAGATGGATTACGATTACAAGGAAAAAAGTTGTTGCACTGAAAAGTCTACAAGTTACTGTAGATATTTATTTAATCGTTGTATCGTTATTTACTTTACGCAAGTGTAATGATTTTATCGAAAAAAATAAAGACGAGAATGAGTAAAAAATATGAGAGTTGTTGAATTCGAAATTGAAAACATTTGTATTTGTTATTATTTTCTATGTGCTGACAAGAGTTGAGTTGAGTTCTTGAGAGAAATTTAAGCTTAAGCTTAGCTTTTGCTCACTTTTCGTCTGTAAAAGTGAGCTTTTACATTTGTTTGCAAATAATTTTTGGTATGAAAGCATTGAACTCTTATTACTCATAGAAGATATATGATAATAATAAAAGATTATTAGTATAAGAGAAGATTATAACAAAAATATTAGCAATAACTCTGAACGAAAGCACTTTGAAAGCAAATTTATATATGTAGTCAATTATTTATCCATCTGAACTTTCTCAAATTTTATCTGGTCAAGAATATTCCATTGGCTAACTGTGCAATTTATTTTATAATTTTGCTATGAAGTTTTTTGAAATGTTTAATTATCTATCACTTAATTTATCATTTTGATATCCATTAATTCAGCGTATGTAGAAGAAGAACTGTTTTCCTCTATAGGATTTTTTCTCAGTAATTTGCATATTACTAATTTGTTACAGACTGCTTTACAAAATATAGTTTTTCAACTTGAAGATGAAAATATTATTTTCTTAAGCAATTATAAAACAAGTTTGAATCTATCTTTGCATGTATAACTCCATAATTTGTGACTGATTTTCAAGTTCCACAAAATAAAATATATCAACAACTATGAGAGTTTATATTTTATTTTATATTTTTTTTAATTCTATATTTTACATTTTATTTTTTATGATTATAATTACTTTTGAACACGATATTTTCATCGACAGAGTTGCATTTCACTGCTAAATTATATGTTACTGTTAAGAGACATGCAATTTTTGTACTGCTGATATGTACAGAATTGAGAAATAGAATAGTTTTTAAGTTGTAAGAATAGAAGTGTAAAAGTTAATTCGTAGAGTTTCGACGTGAATATAACGTTAATCATTTCTTGTTCAAAGAGGAAGAGTTTACAGTGCTGATATCATCATTATTGTTGAAAAAATGTGTTTGCTTTTAAATTTATTCATCAAAACTACTTTTAGCGTATAAATATTTCAAGGAAAGAACATGAAAGTGACGGGAATAATGTGTGTTGGCAAATTCTGCAAGTTGATACATTCTCTCGATTTTGTGATTCTTCCTTCCAGCTTGCTGAGATAGAAGCAACTTTTATTAAGATTCTAAGAGGTCATTGTTGAAATCCGAAAGCAAAATTGCATGCTTCAGCAAATATTTATACTTAGCAAATGCATAAGGATTAAATGTTTCGTACTGATCATTTTCATTATTAATAAATTATAATTACAAATATGACATTAAAAAATATATTTGCTACAATAATATAACATGTTAATCCTGCTTTTGACATAAAATGGAGCTTTTCAAGACGGTATTGTTCATTCACATTTTACTGATATATATAGGTGTTAACAAATAAAATCAATGTAAGGAAAATTTGCATAAGTTCTATCAATTAACATCAGAAAGAATATGATAGCGATGCATGGTAAATATCAAAACAAATTGAAAATTTTGAATCAAAATATTGAAAAGTACTGAAAAACATATCTGTATGAAACTTTCCCTACAATACACTTATAACTGTAATAATATTTTTTTGAAATTTAAAGAATTTCAGCAAAAAAACTTTTCATCAAAATTGCACGTTTAAAAATTAATAACAAACAAATGATAAAATTTTTAAAAATTTTTTCATTCGTTTGTTTTATACTTTTTCAGCAGTATTATTTAAGATAACCCGTTAGCAGTGCATTATTATGGAATAGCGAAAATAGCTACTGTTGACATTCAGAGTATCAGCAAGTTTTGTAAAATTTGTATGAAATGTTTATTAAAAAATTGTAATTATTTTAGCGGATGTGGAAAATCAGTCTTAGATTCTGACAAAAGGAACTATTTTAAACGTTTTAGATCTTTCTATAATATCTAAATATTTTGTCTACAAAGATTATCTTGAAAATTTATCAATGAAATATTATTTTTTCTTTCGTTTTAAGCATTACTAATAGCTCTAAGAAACGTTTTCTCCGAATTAGCAAACATTTTCTTTTAAGAAGACAAATTTAACCCAACTTTAACTTAAAGCATACTTTTATAAACATAAGCAAAATAAAAAAGTGAGTGATAGAAGTACTGAATGAGATGACGTGATGAATCATGAACGTGAAGTGATTGTTGAAACAACGTGAAGATTCCGCCACCTTTTTAGTAGTTGCATTAGCATATCAATTAGTACTAACATACATGGAATAATTAGCAAACCATGCAAAACACATAAGAATATGCATAATACCATTACATTCACAAAAACCTGAAATCATTCAAAATTGTTGAATTACTTATAAATGTTTTACGCTGAAAGACAAATACAATAAACAAGTAATTGCAATGAATTCTTGCAGCAAATAAAGTTTATAACTCAGAAATTACTATTTTATTGCTGTTAGTGAATATTGCCACAATGCTGTTAGGCCTTATCAAGTAGGAAAGTAATCGAAGAAAATTGAAATTTGCTTGTAGTGCTAGAAGAACATACTTGAGCCATGTAAAGTGGCTTGAATGCAAGGCCTAGCAAGCACAGACTACTGCTAAATGATGCCTGCAGTGCCGGTAAGGCAACTGACGCAAAGCATATTCTTAACTTTTCCTTCACTGTTAATCGTTTTTCACTATTTGTGCCTAAAAATTTATTCAAAAATTGATAAAATCTAGTTTTTTGCTTGAGCCTTGAAATGATTCTGAAGTGGACTTTTAATTTTACGATTTGTGAATAACTGAAACCATTTTATTTATAGTGATAGTGTACAGACATAAATAAAAATGACAAAAATAGTAAGTGTAATGATTATTTGTAATCATGAAATTTTGAAAATAATTGTTGTTTCAGATGACAATTAATTTACTTAATATACATGCATAAATAATGATTTACCTGCACTATTATAATGGTAAGCCACATGAGCTGGTATATCAACACTAAAACCCATTGAAATTAGCATAGCAGAAACCATAATTGGTTCCAAATTAATACCCGCAAAATTTATTAAGCCAATCAAACCTTAAAATATTTTGTAAAATATATTTAAAAATAAGTTGCTAAAAGGAATAAAATTAAACTAAATTAGAATAGATTAAGTAAAATTTAGCTAAATTTGATTTATTTTATATTTGAAAAAGTAAAAAAGGGAATACAATTTACACACTAATAAAGTTTAAATAAATAATTTCAAGCAAGTTATTAAAATAATAATTATTAACTAGTCAAAATAGATAATATTGCAGCTGAAACCACGATTACGGTAAATATATCGTACAAAAAAATAAAGCAAATAAATGCCATGCATAATAATATGCCCAAAGCTGATTGCCAAATATCTGTGGCCATATTATCAATTAAATCCAAAAACAATGCATCGTCCATGTAAACTGACACATTGAATTCACTAAATAATTAGTTTATATTTACAAAAGTTTTCACCTAAAAACAAAATTAGTTATGTCAGATAATTTGGCAACTGAAAATATTCATTACAGGCGGCAATCTTCTCAGTCTAAAACTTATCGTATTCAATACTTTTAAAACAATTACTTTCTGAAAATGCTCTTAAAATACTTTCTAATAACTTCATGCTAACACTTTTAATATTTTATTTCTAGTATTTTCAATTACTTTCCAATATATTTATTTCATAGTATTGTGACAGCGCTACTTTTATCAGAAATAGTGAAAGGAAAGAGCAAAATAAATTTTCATCCCTTTTCATTCATATTTCGATTTTTTGTATTATCATATGCATAAAGACATAAAAGTATTATTTTGTTAAGTAAAAGTATTATTATAATTGTGAACGACATGCTTTAAAACTATCATTTCTATATCACTTCAAGCATTCCATGAAGTCGAGAAATCTAATTGAAACAAAGATGACTACGATTGACACTTTCAATCAAATAATTTGCATTTGATTACTTTGAAATATGACTTACAAAAACTTACAGAAAAGAAAAATCATCAATAAAAGTTGTTGTATGTTGAATAGATTTGTTAATTCTTGAATCAAGCTTTGAGATTTGAAATTCAATTTTCTATCTCACGACCAGAAACTTTTGAATTTTTGTGGTTAAAAAATATATAAGGTACTTTATTACTAAATATGAAGTAAAGCAGAATTTTCCATTAGAATTTTTTTTTAATTACTAATAAAGTTTTCAAGTTCTGTATAGTATCTAATTATAACTTACTTATATTTATCAATTACACTGCGCCATTTATTCAGCAACACACCCCTTTCTGGCCATTCTTTCAAATTTTCACCATAATATGAAGTTGTAAAGATGAATTTTCGCAAATGACCACTGTAAAAAAATTTTTTAACAGCATTATTCCAACTGTTCAAAATTTTGAAGAAATTAATTTTAATTATTGTGCAATAATTTCAAAGATTAAATTTTACTTAAATTAACTTAAAAAATTTTTCGAAAGCATATGAGAGTTATCTTAAATTTCAAATTATCGCAATTATTATCAAAGTGTAGAATTTATGCTAAAAAGACAATTTTCTATTTGAAATAAATTTTCACTTACAAAAGAGCACACATTAATATTTCAGTATAAATTCCACACTTCGGTAATAACACTGCTGAATTTGTCTTTAATCATAATAAGTGTATAAATTTTTCATCACTTTATTTGACTATCTTTATTATTCTTACATTAAAACTTGATTTTATTCTTATTTTAGTAACAATGATTGAATGTATTTATTGTAACTGTTTTAACTGATTATCATCGATATCATAGCCAATCGTTATTAATTTACAGTGATATACGCTGAAGAAACCGTAGTATTTGGCAGAATTACAAATTAAAATTAACAACTGAATTTCTCGTTTAGTATAAAATTTTTCATTTAAAATGGGCATTTCAAGCAAATTTTGTTTTTGACAGTATTTTCAAAAGCTAAAGGCAACGTGAAATTAATGTTAAAAATTTGTGTAAAATAATGCTGAATTTGGTTGAAAAAGTTTGATAAACTATAAAAATTCATTCAAATAATGAATTAAAACTTACGTAGTTTCATTAAAGTTTAGAAAACCCTGCCACTTTTGGTATTCAGGCCAGTCTAAGAATAATGGTAAATCACTTTCATCAAATTTGTGTTTCGACGATTGCAGGCTATTTTTTGAACCTAAAATTGCGGCAAAAAAAAATTAATTAAGTTTAAAATATTTAAACTTTAAGTCGGAAATACTGAAAAGTAGACCATTTTCCTCATTGTCTTCATCCTCTTCTTTAATGTGCTTTTCATAATCAATGAAATCTCGAATGAAGTAATTGGTACTTTCAGGGCCCCAAGAACCTTTTAAGTGTTCCAATTCTGATACCATTTGATTTAAACGATCCAGTCGTAACGGATTAGATAAATTTCCCGGATTACTTACATAAAATTGAGCTACCGTATGTTCTGGTACTTGATACGCTTGCAACAAGTGATTTGTCTAAATATTTGATGTTTTTGAATTATGATTACTCAAATTATGAAAGCATTACTTTTTGAATTTTTTAAATAATAAAAGTAACAAGAGTCTAAAGCCATGTTAGAGGTGTCATAACTTGATTTTTGAAAATTTTTAATAACTGAATGATTTTTTTTCATGTTTTTTTGTAAATAATTTAGTGTAAAAATGTTTATAACATAATTGTTTTGACGGTTATATCATGTTTACGCAAAAAATTACTTGAATAAGCGGTGAATCCATTGGGAATAGTTTTTCTGAAGTTAATTCAATTTTTGCTTGCGTTATTCCCTGCAAGTAATAATAACAAGATTATACAATCTTCTATATCTGAGAATAATCCTCTCGAATAACCAAGTTTATCTCAGCATAACTGATAATACCCAAGTGGAAAAGTCTAATTATTTTGATATGCTTTGATTTTACGGATTAAAACTTACAAATATTGATACTGCAAGTAGAAGTAACCAGCAACAAAATGTAGCAATGGAAAAACTGGCACTAGTGACAAGATCCACGTAACAATTCAGTAATACTGAACAAATTCCTTTCATATAACCGCTTAATTCTTCTGAATCCTAAAAAATCTAATCTCAATTAACAATAATATAAAATTTTTAAATAAATATTAAAACATATTTTACAAATCAATATGCAAATTTCGTTTCCAACAAACATTTAAAAAAGTTGATAATACCAATTTTTTGCCTTTTTTACTGAGCTATTCATTTTTGAAAACAAGAAATCATTCATTTCTACATAAGTTTTCATCACAAACAAAATGTCAGAGAAATTTTCATGAATAAATATTAAGCAATTTAAAAAACATTCAAATTTTGTAAAAAAAACTTGTCGCTTTCAAATTTATACCAAATTTTTATTTTTGACCTCACTTTTTAACCTTTTAATTTATATAAAATTAAACTTAAGGATTTTTTTTTAAATCCAAAAAGTGTAAATTTATACCTGGCCACAACAATTTGTTATAGCGCCTTTTTTTTCATTGCCAATTTCAATCGAATGAATGTTTTGTTGTTCAGAAGCTGACTTCATTTCAAAATGGCCCGAAATACACAATATGGCTGAATAGAATGTTAACTGAAATTTGAATTAATTACTTTTTTTAATAGAAAAAAAATTCGGATTATTTTTTTAATAACTAATTTTATAATTTTTATATTTTTAGCATTTTATAGTTTTGAGCTTTTTTGATTTCAGTTTTCATTTTTACTCGTATAAATATTATTAGAATAATTTTTTTAGCTCTCTCTTTGTACAAAAAACTGAAATCACATCTATGCCATACTTTTATATAGTCAAATTGTCTTCTGTTTGAAACTTTCACTGAACATTCTATGCGAGCCGTTTTTACAGAAAATGTATGTCATTACTTTTACATGCATACACATACATTTTATCACTGTGACACTGAGTTTATCTGACATGGAATACTTTCAAGAGAGTATTATTTAGATAAAGTATAATAATATACATTTGTTTATTAAAAAAAAAAACAACAATATAATCATACATTTTGTAATTTTTTAAAATTAAAAGTTAAATTCAGCACATTTTATATTCATTTTTGATGCGCGAAAAACAAATTAATTTTCAAATAAGTCTACTACATGCCATTACAATCAGAAATGATATACTATCTTTAGTGTATTTTCCGTTTTCGTGTGAGAGCTGTTTTTTAATATATGATTGCAGTAAAAGTCAAATTTTAAGTTGTACTGTTGCGACAACCTTTTTAAATTCGCTAAAATTATGTAAGGCTAGAAAATATGAAAACTATTTCTGTACTTCACGAAAAAACGACAAAATTTGAGAACATAAATGGAGTGAAGTAGTAGAGAATATGAGAGCTTTTCAAGTTTACCTTACTCGCAAAATTTTACTTACTTTGAACCAATCAAGCTGAAGAATTCTATTGTTTGTTATTGCAGAAATTTACAATAAAGTGCTTTATATTTTATGAGATAAGCAATATCATAAGCAAGCAACACGCAACGTACTTATGGCATAAATGACTTTTTACACGTACTCATTACTTGAGCTCCACAAACGTGCAAGAAAGTAAGAATTAGGGACTCGAGTAAAACTATGTCATGGGATTATTATTTAATGACATTGTATTTTTTCACTGCTTCAATACAACATCTAGGAAATATTTTGTACTAAAAACCTGAATTTATCACTAATTATTTGATATTCCTTAACTTTTTTGCTCACTTATGATTTCTTGATTTTATTCAAAAAGATTAAATAGAAAAAATATTAGAAATGCTTTAAACGCTAAATGCATTTCTTACTGTAGCAAAAACTGTTTACAATTTTGCTGCTGTAAGAAATACATTAAACTAAAAAAGATGGAAATAAATTTGTGATATTTTTGTAGACCATTATTTGGTACAGTAAATGAAGTTCTAAATTAGAGAATCGAAATTAATTTAGATAATCTATTACAGGTTTATATCTTGGAACACTTGATTTTTTTAATAAGTCTATTACAAATCTTATTTTAACCTTTATTTCAATAACATGAAAACAATATTTGCTAAAATGTTCCAACTAAAATTACGGTTACTATCAATAACTAGTATAATTATTCAAGAATAGATTCGTTTATCTTAGGACCAAGTACCGAATCCCAAGTGCTAGTCTCAATTAGTTGCCCCCTGGCATTTTTTATTTTTCTTACATAAAATGATTTTCTTGTTATTAGTAGAAGTAGCGTAGATTTTTGGTCAAAATCTATTTATACGTACAATTTATTATTATTTTGATCAACCTTGACCCCTCGATCTTCTTACTGCATCACTTTTAATTCAAATTATACGCATTTGTTTTCATTCATTTTATAAATCTGCACAAACTATTTAATAAATGGTAACTCATCACATAGAACTTGAGAAAAAACTGATCTCATGAGACATGTAAGACGCTGTGATAACTTTTAAAGTTAAAAAATATTTATTTTCATTGTTACTTATTCGTAAAATCGGTATTTTGGTAAAACGATACAAAAGAAATAGACAAATTAAGGAACGCAGTCAGCAGGTGTTTGCTATTGCAATTTTCAATTTTCAATTTAAAAATTTTTTTTTTTTGAAAGCAAATAAAAGGTCAAGTAAATAAATTTAAGTAAATGGATTATTAACTGACCTGATAGACATAATCCATAAAAATCGTTGTCATATTGCCAAAACAAAGGATAGTAATATTTGGTGAACCAGTAAATGTGCCAACAGCATCAGCTAAAATATTTGTTAAGGCGGATATGAGAATTGCGGGTCCTGTATCTTGCAACACCTAGAAATAGTATTTAGTCTCATTAATAACCGAAGAATACTTCTTTACATGTTTACATTTGAAAGCATAACTAATATTAATTGCTTAAGTTTGAACTTATAGTTTGTCAATGTAATCAGATACTAAATATTAGAGCTTAATTAGTTTTAAGTTAAAGTCATTACTTCAGAAAGACGATAAGCAACAGAATCTTCTTTGGTAGGGTGCCGCGTACATTCTCGAGCAGTACGTTGCCATGCATGCATCATCAAATATGCATCATCAACGCCTTAATAATTAAGAAAATTATTAATCAACTCAAAAATACCAAATGAATACTTACAATTGAAGCTATATTTGAAAATGTTTTGAAAAAAAACAACAACAAAAAATTATTGAATTTAAATGGAATTTTGATGAAATAACAGGGAGAAAAATTAACCAATTCGATCGTATTTTCGCAAAGAATTACTGTAATATATTTGAGTAACATTTCTAAATATCACAAAAATCAATCAGTTTTAATGCAAATTAGTTTTGATAAATTTTAAATGTATGCCAAATATCATTCATTAAAGTATTAATCACAAGTTTTTTTTACCAATAGCGAGGGCGAGAAATGGTGTAATGCATAAAATAGCATCATAGCGTATACCCAGCGTTATCAGCAACCCAATAGCTGTAGCATTAGCCATTAATGGACATATGCAAGCAAAAATAGGCAAGTAAATCTAAAATAATCAAATTTTTTTCCAACTTGTTCAGAATCAGTCATTTTACCCTTGTTGAATTTTTGAATTTTTATAAGTAATATTCTTCACTTTAATTTATCTTTAAATTAATTCTTCTTTTAATCTCTACTTCAATAATCTTTATTTTAATTAGTCTGTACAACTAATTAATTAATTAATTTTACTGAATTTATTATGATTTATTTGCAATAGTTTGCAGCATGTAAGTGAGAAAAAGCAGAACCTTATGAATAGTCATTTGTTGCATATACGTGGCACTGATTAAGGTAGATAATGTGGAGCAGATGAACATAATACAGAAGCCAACGATGAGATAAGGTAAAATACTTAGTCCAGCTCGAGCTATTTCGTAGCCAACATAATTGAATGATACTGTGAATACACGAATGTTTTCTGATTTGTAATCACTAAAAAAACTAACACTTAACAATCAACAGCTGAGATCACAAGTAATTTTCTTAATAGAAATATTATTAGAATTATCAATTATTGTAAAAATCCAAAAAAGTGAATTGTACTTTGCTAAAGAATAATCCGTTAATTATTAAGCAGTGTTTTAGATCAGTCATCAGAAGTTACTTAATAAATTCATTATGCTTTTTCCACTTTATTCAATTCCAATTTTTTCTCAGCAGTATAGTAATTGTTGAATTTTATTCATTTCATTTTCATCAGTATTCTTATTCTCATATCCATCAATTTGTAGCAATAATTAAAACAGATTTTTTAAATATCAGTGACTCATATATATTTTTGTCATAATCAGTTGATAAAATGTATAGCATTTCCTGCCAATATTTTGATTTACAGGTAATTCATTCATTTTTGCTTTTAACTTCAACTAATTTCTACAATTTTATTTAAAAAAAAGGAATAATTTAAAATACGAAAAAACTCTCAATCATTTTATTTTTTCTTAAAGTTATTACATTATACCAAAAAACGACCCACCTTTTTCAAATAGCCTATGAACTTAACCTGCTTATCATTCTTCCAAATTAGGAATTAAAACTCATTCAATTGCAAAATGCTCAGATATTTTAGTTGCGGGCATCCCAGAACTTAATCTACGAATTTTATTTATGTTGTAAGGAAGGATCAAGTCGAGACTATTTTTTGATATCTATTAACGAATCATTTTTCGAGATTTATCTTGCAAGAATAAAATTAAAAAATAATAGTATCTAAGAATAATCTTATCCTTCTTGCGAATCTTTCTTGCGAATACCTTCTTGCAATTGCGATTATTTGATAAAAACTGATAGTTTGGTTGTTAACTATTAAACTTTTGTGTACACTAACTGATTATCATTGTTAGTTTTAAAAATCTCTCTCAGTAGCATGGAAAAGTTTAATGAAGCCAGAAAATGCATACTTTTGAAAGTAACGAGCAATGCTTAATTCATATTGTTTTATTTCTTGATCAGTCCAATCACCAATTCGTTCTGAACGATACAACAATTTCAGCATCTTTACTGATACCATATTTGTTATAATTGGATAATAATTAGTGATTTGTGCTGTTGATTCATTCATTTCATTTCCGATCAGAAATGTATCATTTCTCAATTTTACGCCATTGAAATTCATCTGAAATCATTTACAAATTTACAATATTGCAAATTTCTATTGCTCATAAATAACTTACTGCTAACACTCAGCTGCTTGATTTTAGTGCCAATTTTATTTGCACCCTTTACATCTATTGCATTCATAAAAAATACTTTATATGTTGGAAATTTTTTACTACTTAATTACAATTTAAAAAAAAAAACATTGTTAGAGCAATCATTATGATAATTAGTTATGCTATTTTTATGTTTAGAAGAATTAAATCTATTGAGATTTTCTTTTGCTCTTTTAATGCTACTAAAAGTATTGGATTTAATAATTAAATTCAAGTGCTTTATTAATTTCTTCAAACCTGAATATTAATAGAGCGCCCGAATAACTTTGATACTGGATATCTCAAGTCAATCCGGTCATTTAAAGATTTATTAGCTCGAAGAAGATCAAGCTGAACTTGGAAACCTGTCTGCAAACAAGAACAAAACATTTTTTAACTATCACATCACAAGTCCATATCAGAAATAATTCATGAATTTTGATAGTATATCAGAATTACTACATTCATTATTTACATGATTGAAAGAGTTCATTTAAGTTTAACTTTTGAAAACTTTTTTGTTCGCTTAAATTTTTATTAGCATTATTGCTCTTTGTTATCAAATTAAACTTTGTATTACTACTATACGCAATCTTTACTTCGCATGCTAATTAAGCTTTAAGACGTGCTACTTTTTTAGTAAATTAATAAACGCATTAGAACATCACAACAATTTAAATAGTACTACTTTTGAGCATATTATATTAATATAAGTTTAAAAGGAAAATGCTTTTGCAATTACAATAGTGCAGTGGAAAAAGTAGCCAACATTTCTTTTGCAAACAGTATGCTGTGAACTCAGACATTAATTGAAAGCATAAAAATTAAAATAGCAATTGTTACTAATCCAAAAACAAGACAGATTTGAAAATCTTTGCAGTAAGAAACTTATTAATAATACTTGAAAATGCAGCAAAGGGATGTTTAGCACGCATGAGCTTAGACAAAATTGACTAAAAGATTCGTCTTGGCCATTGATGTGATTGTGCAAAGTGAAATTATTTGATATTAATCTGTCGACCTGAAAATGAATATTCTGCAATGCTTTTTTAATTGTTGAAAGTGTTTTCTATCAAGCCAAATCAGATGAAAGATTTTGTTGCTAATAGATTTTGTTGCTGTAAATATTTATGAAAATTCAAAAAATATGAAATAATAGTTCAAACAAATATGCAATCAAAATTAAATGAATATAAAAAGTTTGAAATTTACTTCGACAGCTTCTTGGAGTAATTCTTCTCTTAGCATAGAACCGTTATCTTTAGGAATTATAACTGCCATTATAACAAATCCTTTGCCATTATGATTTGTAAACTCTTCCTGTACTGCAAATTCGTAACGTGACCTTACACCATAAGGTACAAAACCAGAAACATCAGTTTCATAACTAAAAATTTGACTAATCACGTGAAAAAAATTGATTTTGAAAAAGAGTTAATGGATTTTGTACTTAATTTTGTAAATTATTCATCTTTTGTAAGTTCTAGCTTGTATCTGTTTGCAGTATCTTTGATTAATTTTTTAATTTTAAATTTTATATGATTTTACCTTTTATACATATTAACACTTAGTGAAAGTATTAGAAAGAAAAAAGTTTTGAGTCTCATTTAAAATCTCAACAATTATACAACCATTATTACACTATTAATATCCCTCCTATGACCAATTTCAACAACGTTTGAAGCATATATTAAATATTAAAACTTCTGATTTTTGAAATTAAAAATTTATAAAGAAAGCGTGTAAAAAAAAACATTAAGTTGCCGAAAAAATTACTTACGATGTATTGATAACTTTGATAGCACAAATAATAGATAAAACAACAGATAATACAATTGTGACAATAACGTGATCAGCAAGAAAATATGACCAACGTTTGTGTAGTTCGTTAATGTATTGTACGAGCCGTGTTTGATTATTTGAAGAAGTAGAAGTAGACGGAGACAAACTCATATCACTCAAAGTTTACTACGAAAATTTGATTCAAAAATGAAATCTTGTATGTTTTTACAATTTTGAAGTAATAATTTCAACATAAATTTCCTTTTTTTCAGTAGGAATTTCGTTAAAATCTACAAATATTTTAAATTTTTGATAAAAAATAACTTTTTAAATATTTAAGCAATAAAAAAATTTTAACAAATGAATGAATTCAAATAAACTATTGGCCGTTTTGATTCATTTTTATTTTCAATTTTTGTGCTTCATTTCCAGAAGGTAATATGAAATGATGAAGAGAAAGAAATGTAGCATATTTTCATTTGCTATTCATAATGAATAATTAACATGCTTGCAAAAGCAAATCCAAAAATATTTGAATATCACTCAGTCAACTTGTAAATTGCTAATAATTTTTGAATTCGTAAAAATTGAATAATAATTTGAGAAATAAAATCTTTTATCAAAAATGAAAATTTTTCACACAAAAAGCCATAGTTAGTTTCAACTTTTTTTTGAATGTTTTTTTACAAATATTTTTGACGTTGCGATGGAAAAACAATATTTTTGTCACGTCGTACGTTAAAGATACGCGCAATTATTAACAGCTCATATGCAAATAGAAAAAAGTAAAGCAAAAGAGATATAAAAAAATACTTGCGAAAATGTTACAAAAATTAAAATTTTTCTTATTTAATATATTTGTGATCACCAATTATTCATCAGCTGAATTTCTTTCAAAATCTTTTTTTAAAACTTAGATGAGAATGAATGTTTTTCAAGAACTAATTGAGCTAACAGTATTAACATAGGAAGAAAATGTATAGCAAATGCATACATTTAAAATAAAATACAGTTTATTAGCATATAATTCAAAATGTAACAATTTTCTAAGTTTAAATATTTTTTGATTGAAATCTGTTGAATATTTTGAATTTCTTATGATTACTCTATTACATTATAACTATACTAAAAAAATTCTAAGCTACTCAACACGCTTTCAAAATTTGGCAAAAAGTTTCATTCTTAAATTGATGAATAAATTTAAATTATTACGAGCATTAAAGAAAAAAACTTTTCTTGAAAAAATGTATACTTTTCTTACTAAATTTATAAATTTTATTTCCACTGAATGCATTTGTCTTCAAAAATACCACATAATTATCCATTAAATTTTTTTTCTTCTATTGCCCTAATTACAGTAAAATTGCGGTGAAAGTGAAATGTGAGCAAAGTGAGTAATAATTTATATAAATGTAATAATTAATGACTTAGAAAGCAATTCAGACTTGTTTTTCTTAACAATTAACCATTCTTGCAGACAATCTCTGATTACTTTTGAAGCTCTTTTAATCACTTTTTAGAAATAATTTTCTGCAAACGGAAATGTTTGATGGGACTATCAAAAATATTTTTTCGCCATTTATGAACATCGCCTTGGGCTTTTCTCTATATTGGCATAGTATTATCTGTTAGCTTATAAACGAGTATTTTTAAATATCAATTTAATAATTAGCTTAAGAGCACTTTCTGAGAATCGGATGTTTATCGTGTTTCTTCTTATTGCGTCATTTTTCAGTCATAAAATAGTCAATAAAAGATAATGTAGAAACTTGATTTTATAAAAAAATCATCAAGTAAATATCAGAAATTGTGATAAACAAAAAAATATATATTACAATTATCGTAGGCAAGAAAAATTCCGTATTTATTGTTTTTGTTATTAAAATAATTTACAAAGCTAAATTTATAATCAAATTTTAAATTTTAATATTAAAAATAACAACGGATAAGTTAAATAATCTTTTACATGTTATTAAAGCTAATTAAGTTTTGGCAAATTAGTGCTAATTATTACTATCTTTAAATGTAACATAGAAATCCGTTTGTCCATAAGTTTTTAACTTCTTCAATGTCCAAATTAAAATGTCACCAATGCTTTTAATCCTCCATTATTTTCACACTTCCAAAAACAATTTTACTTTTTCAACTATTTGTGAATATTTTTACTTTTAATAAAATTACGTAATATTTCCATGAAGAGTTAAACAATTAACAAAATCTGTGCACATTTTCAATTTTAGTAGTATGCTTATCAGTGAATAAAAGTTAAATTACAACTTTTTAGCTACTTTTAGTCGAATTATACAATTTTAAGTGTTGAAGAATTATTCTTCAAAATTTTCTGACATCACAAAACTTCTCTAATCATTTACTGCGCTTTTTCAATGTTGTTTAACTGCATAACTGCAAATCTTTTTTTAAATAGTCGACTTTTTTCACGGCCATTAATATTAGATGCTGTATTTCAATAACACTGATGCATGTGATTATATGTCAAATGTTCACTGCAAGAAAAGTAAATTATTTTCTGTTCGGGTCAATCAACAACTTTTTTCGTCAGCAAATGCAGTTTGTTACTTACTTCCGAGCAAATGTTACTTAAGTCATTGCATTCATTAATGCTAGCACAAGTTTGATTTCGATGCAACTTTTAGTTTAAAATTTGTTTGTGTTCTTTAAGAGATTAAGAAAAATCTTTCAAAAATGCAATATTACAAAATAATTTGATTACTAATTTACGCTAAACAATGCATTAATAACAGTTTGAGTATTTAAAATGATCAAAAGTACGAAATGGTAGTGATAGTAACAAAATATATTACAAATGAAAAAATGCTTTCATCGAAAGAATGTTATTACTGTTGTGAATAGATGATTAAAAGCATGATCAGTAGAAATCGTCTGCAAAAAATAAGTTAAAATAGTACCAATGAAATTCTTACTAATTGTAGCTAACTTCATAAGTTGCAATCAGAAGAACTAATGTACTATTTAACAGATTTGAATACTTTTAGCAACAATTAGGAAGGAACTGGGATATGACTTTCACTTGCCTCTCAAGCATATAAAAATGTAACAAATTTCTTATTGTGATGATACTAGTTTTGTAAATAGAACTTGGGACTGTATAATTAGCATTGAACTTAAAATAGATGGAACAAGAAATGGACTAGAGAGTAAATGCGATAATACTAAAATCAAAATATTTACTTATTTATATAACACATATTGTATGGATTCGAATAAAAATGGTAGTTGGATATGAAATAAAACTTTCCTCTTAGCACAAATTTAGTTCTTTACTAAAAAAAATACGTCTATTCAATGGTCAAGAGTTAGCTTAGACTCTGTTGAGGATTGAACAGAATCTTTCTAGAATTACTGTAATCAAAAAAAAAGATATTTAAGGGCACTTCGTGCAGTTTATATCCTTTTACTTGAAATGAAATGCAGTAGTAATTATGCACAAATTCTGTGGACAATAAAAATAATGGAAAAATTCAGAAAAAAAAGAAAAGCCTACCTACAATCAAAAGAATAAAGACTAGCAATTAAAACTGCGCAAAAAGATGATTTGATTCATCAAAAATTTACCTGCTGAGATCACTCACTCAAAAATTAAAATTTTAACTGCCACATTCAAAAATTATCGTTAAAGCGAATTACAGTAGGCGTCATTTGACAACGATTTCATATTTTATTAGATCTTTAGATCTCTTTATTTATTTATTTTTATACAATTTACTTATATTTTTGAAATTGTGGGATACAATTTAATTTTAATAGTATATTAACGAGTTTCTTAATTCAAATGAGAAGTGAAGAAATAAAAATCATATTATTCAGAAGTCTAAGTAGTAATAATAAGAAACAAAGAGATAAAAAAGAAGAAAAATTTTGCAAATTTTGAAAATTTATGAAAAAACTGTTGAAAGAAGGAGATGATAAGTCAAGTTGAATAACGCGGTCGATTACAACTACTCATGGCGTAGACTGCGCAGGAAGACTTCCGATGAAGATCAGCGCTCAATTACAACTGATTACCGCGTGGACTGCGCAGGAAGACTTCCGAGAGAGACCACAATGGCCTTGAAGTTTCCTTTGCGGTGTTTGGCCATGTGATCACTTATGACTCCATGCTTGATCGCATTTGAAAATTTGCTGCTGAACGGCCATTCAATAAATTTTACTATGCAATAATGTGCTAAATAATGATCACAATCAATGCAAAATGATTGAAAAAAAAGTTGATATAACTTTTATGACATAGAAATATGAAAATTATCTTTTGACAAATTTCGACTTGGATTTTTGACTCGCTGATTTGTCTCTTAAATGCGTTATGGTCGATAGCAAAGATCAAAGTTCGTTTTTGGCAGTAAGGAAATGGAAGTGCTCTTAAGTTAGTTAAAGTAATACTAGCTTTGCTTGAACGAAACTCACTGATTTAGCGTTAAAAAGTTTAGCTATTTTGAAAAAGTATGAGAAAGCTTTAAAAATATGCATTTCCAACCACATTCAGCTCTTCCTTTGAAAAATTAATAGAAAAATGTTTCAAATATATTTGGCATTTAATTTAGTAATAAAATTAATGAAAGTTATGCATGAATAACTTTGCTATTAAAGAGTTTAACGCGTAGTGCTTATTAATACTTCCCAAAATATGTATTACAGAGTCATCAATCTAAGTAAACACTGCAAGTCTAATAGGCGCAGTTCGAGCGCAACAAAGCCTCGACTGCTTGCTTTACTTTGTACATAAGTAAAATTTTACGGAGATTTTAATGTTTGAAAAGACACTGATGATAAGTTTAAGAAATTATGTAATTTGCTTTTATGAAACAATGGACTGAACAAGAAGAGTTAAAAGTACTATAAAAAGAAAAGTTATTGATGAAATACAGTAAGATAAAAATGATCAGTAGCTATACTTGAAGCTTACATAGTAAGGATAATATATTGACTTGATAAACTAAATGAAATTTTAATTACAAAAACATTCACTACCCTTTATCACATATACATCAAATCACAAGTATTGTGAATATTCAAATTTTCAAGTATGACTGTGATCAGCCATCAAAATTGCTATTGGTCAGTAGTTGCACATTTTAGAATAAATATGTTAGAAAAGATGAAATTTTAAATTTGAAGAGCAATAAATTTGAATGTGAAGTAAAATGTCAAATGGGACGGAAGTTACTTACTTGTCTTTGCACAGCAAAAGTTCTTACAAATAAGAACGATATGCGATGTGAGGAGAATGCCTTCAGAGCAAAAATACCCATAAATTAAGCTATGATAAGTTAAAAGTAGTAGCCATACTGAATTAAGTGAATACAAGCAATGAAATTTATACTTTCTTTAAAAATAATACACTTTCTTATTTTAATAGTAAAAGCAGAAATTAAAGTGCAAATAAACTACAAAATTGTATTATTAAACTAACTTATTCATCTACTAATCCGTCCAAGCAACCATTTATCGTTTGAACCGAATATATTTTCTTAACTTTATTTATCTATTTATTTTATCTGTTTACTCATTCATTAATGCAGCCATTTGTAGATAGATACATTTCCGCAGCATTAAATATGTTAGGTATTATCGAAATTGGTAGCATAGATATGACCGACCGGCTCTTCTCTTTCTCACCTTCTCCTACTTCGTGTCACATATTCAGGTTTCATTAATATAACCTGCCTGATACAATTATACTTCAAAGAAATGACAATTTATCAGAAAGAGAAGAAAAACTTTGATTAAACTATCATTCATTGTAAGTTTTTTAGCAAAAAAAAGACCGCTAATTATTATTAAAATTTTTACGTCTATTCCTTATATATATATATTTATATATATTCCTTTTCTATATACATATTTTGATATATATATATCAAAAAACTATCAAAATAAGAAATTTTTATTGTAACAGCACTAAGATATATATATATATATATATAATTATATATGTAGGGATTAGATGCAAAAATTTCGATAACAGTTATTGGTTTATATACATAATATCTTTAGTAGGAACAGATATATCTGAGAATAACTAGTCTTGTGATTGTTTTAATTTTTACAAACTCGTTATCATGTTGATACTGAAGCAAATTAGGCAAGCATAAAAAATGACTTTATATTTATGGCTTTCAAAATATATTCCATCAACAAATATCAGAATAAGAAATTCCTATTGTAATAACACTAAGAAATGTTGCTGCTACTCATGCATACTTTAAGGTTGGAAAATAGAGCTTTTGTAGAAAATATATTTTAAAAGAAAAGACTATTCCAACGCATTTTACTCAGTAAGCACACC